CCCGTTACCAGCTGCTTACTACTACATGTGAGAGTAGTACATTCAAATATTTGTCTATTTTACCCCTGTGGATAATAAAGTACTACACTATCAGACTTTTTTGTTTTGGCTCGTTACTTCCGAGCCCCCCCCCCCCCCCCCCCCCCCCCCCCCCCCCCCCCCCCCCCCACCCCCCCCCCCCCCCCCCCCCCCCCCCCCCTCTTTCAAGACTTATTGGGATGATGATCTGGTGGCCACATCATGATTGGTTAAACTCCCCTGGTGGTGAGACTTACACGTCCCCTGGTACCTGGAGACCCTGAGGTTGCGATGTTTGCCCTGCTGACGCAGGCCAGATGACCATTCTCTGTGATCCAGTTTCAATAGCCGGATAACCAGGAGTTGGTTAACACTCAAATGCGCATTACCATTGCGCTTTCTGGTTAGTGCAATCTACATTCATCTCTGTGGGAGGAATATGGTCACAGAAGTCACTTATTTTGTCACCATCTTGCCTTGAAATTTTGTATTATGCACGCAAGAACACTTTGGTTGGAGATATTTATTCACCATTATTACTATTCCTGGACTTTTAGACATTTTTAAGATCTATTTCATTATTAAGTGGTGTTTCACAATACCATTTATTATATGCACCGTATGATTATATGCATGTATTATTGAATTTATTAGCGCTGCATGTTCGTTTGATATATTTACTTTGGAGGCTCTTGGTGTTCGTCTTTCATGCTAGTCGCTTTTAGGGTTTTTTATCCAGCGCTCGTATCTTTTCTGTTTTTACATTTACTTTCTTGGTTGTCACATGACAAAATGTGGAAAATTTCAAGGGGTATGAATACTTCTTCAAGGCACTGTATTACCATTTGATTCAGATTTAGGGCCTTCACAGTCTTCTGAAGAACTGGTGTTTCAGCAAGTCCGACATAACTCCGTTTTACAAGAGGTTCTTGATCCTCTTATTGATGTATCTTATTGTTTTCTCTTGAAACTAGGATAGGCTGTTCAGGCATTAGATCCCATAGAGCTGTGGCTTCCATAACTCTCCCTATTACATTCTGTTCATTTAAACCTTTTTGTGAGGACTGGAAACAACCTGTGGAGTCATAGTTTCCTCCTGACAATGTGACCGCTTTTTCCAGTTGATAAAAAATTTGGGTTGTCTTTGCCTACTGTAGACACTCAAGGCATTCACCTTAATGAATGTGCGTACCACGAAATAGGTTGATTATTTTCTGGTTTGAGCTTTCAGTTTTCTATGTTGAAAAACCAATAAAATGTATGAAAAAAACCTGAAGTATAAACCATTGCTTAGCAACTTGTTACACCCAAAGTCCTAGTTAACATGGAGTGTACTAAAGTACAGTTGTGCTCAAACATTTGCATACCCTGGCAGAAATTGTGAAATTTTGGCATTGATATTGAAAATGTCTGATCGTGCCAAAAAATGCTATTATTTTGAAGGATGATGATCATATGAAGCAATTTATTATCAAATTGTTGTTTTGGCTCCTTTTTAAATCATAACAGAAATCACCCAAGTGGCCATGATCAAAAAGTTTACATACCCTGGAATGTTTGGCCTTGGTACAGACACAGAAGGTGAAACACACGGGATAAAATGCCAATTAGAGGTTAATGTCCCCCATATGTGGCTTTCTAAATTGCAGTTAGTGTCAGTGTATAAATAGTCATTGAGTTTGTTAGCTCTTACGTGGAAGCAATGACTAGGCTAGATACTGAGCCATGGGAATCAGAAAAGAACTGTCAAAAGTCCTGCGTAACAAGGTAATGGACCTTTATAAAGATGGAAAAGGACATAAGATGTCCAAAGCCTTGAAAATGCCAATCAGTAATGTTAAATCACGTGGAAATCTCTCGGGGATCTCTTGATGCCAAGGTCAGGTAGACCAAGAAAGATTTCAGCCACAACTGCCAGAAGAATTATTCGGTTTACAAAGAAAAACCCACAGGGAACCTCCAAAAGAACTACAGTCTCATCTGGAAAAAGATGGTGTGGTTGTTTTTAAGGAGTACAATATGGTGATACTTGAACAAAAATTAGCTGTTTGGTCGAGGTGCCAGAAGCTTTTACTGCACCAGTGCCACAGTATTACCTTGTTACACAGGACTTTTGACCGTTATTTTCTGATCCTGATGGCTCAGTATCTAGCCTAGCCAGTGCTTCCACGGGAGGGCTAACAAACTCATTGACTATACACTGACACAAAATTGCAATTTAAAAAGCCATAGATGTGGGACATTAACCTCTAATTGGCATTTTAATACGTGTGTCACCTTGTGTGTCTGTACCAAGGCCAAGCATTCCAGTGTATATAAACTTTTGATCATGGCCATTTGGGTGATTTCTGTTATGATTCAACTATTTGATAATAAATTGCTTCATATGATCATCTTTCAATGAAAGAGCATTTTTGGCATGATCGGTCATAATTTCAATATCTATGCCAAAACTGTGTTTACCCACACTAGGATGCACAGGCATTTCATGCATCCTCTTGCAGGCAGTCCTATTGATATCAGTCAATGGCACGGACACTCACTGCTTTCAATCTATCCACGTGGGTGTACTAGTGCATTCCTGTGGTAAACACTGCCCTCCACAGGTGCGCACAGCACAGGTTTAGTTTTTGCTTCCAGGGTACCTGTACAATTAGGAGGTACATTTGTGTGTTTTTTTTTTTTTTTTTTTTTTTTTTTTTTTTTTTCCTGTGTCAACATGGATTTGAATTGCATGTAGAAAGTTCTTTCCCCCATAACTGTTGCTTATTTGTAGTGTTCAGGTACGACCTGGGGAACCTCAGTCAGCCCAGGATAAAGCAAGGATGGATAAAGAATACCTTTCCCTCATGGCAGAACTGGGTGAAGCCCCAGTGCCCTCCTCTATAGGAGCCACAACTACTCCTTCCCACAATCCTGTTCAAGGAGCCCCAAGGCCAACTAATATGGCAGGAAGTCAACCACCTCTGGTATACCATTTTAATTTAAACTTCATCATGTTAGACCATTTAATTAATGTATAACATTGGGTTTATTCTGACTTCAACTGTTGTATTAGTGACTTATTCCTTGCTGAGACCTCTATGCTTGGCCTGTATAACCGAATACAGTAGCTGTGGACAGTCTTTTATCAGATGGCTGAACTCAAACATCTGTTTTACCTCATCCACGGATCTTTATTGCAATGCAACAAGGTACATCAGACAATAAGATATAGCAGATAAATTAAAGGATGGTATTTCCAGGTCAAAACATGTTAATGTGTCCCTGCATGCGAGCAGATTACATGAGGCCTAGAGACAAGCGACCACATTCATCCCAAGAAGACATGGTGAAAAAGGAAGAGGAATTGCTTCATTAACTAGTGGCAGGGCACAGGATGAAAGAGTGAAATGGAAGGTGCAATAACCAAAATGTCCACTAGATTACAGTATATTAAAAATGTCCACTAGATTACAGTATATTAACTAGAACTACGCATTGCATTATATTACACAAGTGTAACAGCACAAGGTTATTGTAACATATCAATTAGGTAATATTTTGAAATATTTCTGTTCAACAAAATAGTAATTTGAGAGAAAAATAAAATGGATTCCCAGGTGTCAAATAGGTACACATTCATGTATAACAACATTATGATTTTAGTTCCTAACTCATAAAGTGTACACTAGCTTTTAAAACATTCCAGTAACACCACATATAGCAAAATACATTGCTAAGCACAGATATGTTGTGAATTTTTTTAGACTGTAGTTACAGTAAAAATCTTTTGTTGGGACACCGCTTCCTCCTTTGTCGGTTACTTCCATTTTTTTTATATTGACTGCTTCAGCTATGCAATGATGGTTGTAGGTTGAATTATAGTTGTTTAGGCCTAGTGTCTAATCCTCTTGTAAGCAGTTTCTGAATAAAAAACACTGTTCCTCAATGGACTTAAATAAAGGCACTTTACTGTGCACAAAAGTTTTGGATTATTTGGAGGAGCTCAAATTTATTTAGGCATCTGTGCCCCCTCTTGAAATGCTTAAAAAATTGCCCAGCACACTTTCTGCCTCAGAGTATTTCCACTTGCTTATGGTTTGGACAAACTGCATATGTAAAAATATAAACCTAAAAATGTTGCCATCACATTCTCTAAAAGGCCCACAGCTTGTTACCATTACAAAAAACTTATAGTTCTGAGTCAAATGTATTTTTTGAATGGAATATTCTTTAACCCCTTGATGCCAACGTCAAAGAAATAAGCGGCCTCACAGAATTGGGCTTTTTTCCATGGGACTGCATTTTGCTCCCAGCACGAAGACCGGGGTGGCACTGAGAGCCCAAGGTCCCATTCTAACAATCGTGATCCGGGACTCCCGATTCCGGGTCACATGATCGCTGTGATAGCCTCTGATTGCTTATCACAGTGATCCGTCACTGTGAAGCCTGCCCCCCTTGTTTTTGTTTTTTTTTTTTTCTCTGAATGAAGGAGAGTGATACATTGTATCTCCTTGCAGAGAGAAAAAAAATCTGTAAAAAATAAAAATTAAAGGGGAAAAAAAAAACCTAGATCAAGGTTTGATCTAGTTCAGTGCCAGGGTTTGGGTCAAAGGTCAGTTTTTTTTTGTTTTTAAATTGATATCAGTGTCTGTGTTTTTTTAGGTGAAAAAAAACAAAATGCGCACTATTGGTTCTGGTATTGCTGCAATCGTCAAGAGCTGGATATTTTATTTTTGGTTCTTTGTTGGTAGGTTATGGTAGTAACAAGAAACACAAAGCTAAATTAAACAAAATATTTTTTACGATTTTGGAGATATCCTTTACCATCAAATGAAAGCCCAATTTGTCGTGAGAAAAAAAGCTATTCACCTGGATGTACAAAGTATTTGTGGTGATATGTACAGTTTTACTAACACATGTCAAAGTTATAAAATTTTACTCAGATTTTAAGATTTGAATTTACCCTTTGTTTCCGTACACAGAGTCGTCCTCCCTGGATGACCACAGATAGGCCGTTTCCAGCTTTGCATGGTGCACCTCACTCTTTCCCTGCCCCTATAGGAGGGGCAGGAAATGGTCCACCCATCCAGCCTAATCCTACTGCTCCTCATCCTCACTGGATGCAGCCACATCCTGGAGCCCATCCACCTGGTCCACATCCCATGGGTAGGATTTTGAATAGTTGAAACCTGTTCTCTTTGATTATATCAGCATTACGCTACTTCACTTTCCCAATTGCAGGTCTGTTGCATTCTCACCCCATGGGCCTAATGCCACCGCCTCCACCTCCACCGCCTACTGGGCCAGCACCTCCTCCACCACCTCCATCAGCCCCAACTTTGCCACCTTGGCAGCAACAAGCATCTGCTGCTCCTCCACAACCAACAGCACCTCTTCCTTGGCAGCAAAGTGAGTATGAACTTTTAAATTTGCTTTTTGAAATCTTAGCTGCCTGTGTAACTTTGCCCACCCAACAACTGCTTTCTTTTTTCATTTCAGCATCACAAACCACAAATTCTGCCTCTGCTTCCCTTCCTCCGTGGCAGCAGCAGGGAGGAGCTAACGCGTCAACAGGCACAAGTATCCAGACGAGTGCTTCCTTGGTGCCACCTCCTCCGGGTGTTCAGCCTCCACTTCCACCTAGTGCTCCACCACCCCCACCTCCACCACCTCCAGGAACATCTGGCCTTTTGTATGCCCCACCACCACCTCCTCCACCTCCAATAGATCCTTCTAACTTTGTAACAATGATGGGTATGGGTGTTCCAGGTATACCTCCATTTTCTATGCCCCCTGCTCCTCCGCCACCACCTCCCCAAAACTAAGTCTGACATTTTGTTAAATTCTTGACCAAGCAGACCTTTGCTTTTCTTCAGAACATATCTTTCCACAGAGGATAAATTTCCTCTCAGGGTTTATAAAGTTGTCAAAATACCCTTTAGTTTACTACAAAGCAATTGCTTGTTCTGTATTTTCTGGCTTATGATTTTCTGGCTTGTGATTTCACATGCTTAACTGGCATTTGGGAATTAGACCTCTTTCTTGAACTACTCAAATGCATCCTTGTGTCTTGGTCTTATTAAATTGCATTTCTTAAAATTACAATAAGTCACTAATCTAGTGTAAAGTTAATTTTGATTTGGGATGTTATCGCAACTTCTAGAAAGGCAGTCCTCTATTACTACTTGCCAATGGGATCATCTGTGTACTACCTTATATTGTCTTTCTGTGGAAACCCTTACAATTTCCATCAATTGTGTGGTGTTTTTTTTTTTTTTTTTTTTTTTTTTTTGTCATACAGTATGTCACACAGGCTCTCTAATCATAATGACTGGGTTTTCATACAGCTACCTTCAGATAGCTGGACACTAGCAAAAAAAACTGAGGTTGAGTGGAAGGGGGTTATGTAGGCGATATCACGCAGTTTTGCCAGTGTCTTTAGGTGATGGTCCTGTTACCTCTTCTGAGAGCTGCTTACCTTTCACCAAGCTGATTCTTTATCCAGATTCCTTCTTCACTATAGCCACTGCAGCTTCTGGGTACTTTTAGTTCCCTCAGTCTTTTTAGACTGGGTCCTGCCAAATGGGAGAAGCTGGACCAGCCTTTAATGTTTGATATGCAGTGGATTATGCTATAGGTGCTCCCCTTCGCACGTATTTTAATCAATTTAGCTGCAGCTGTCTTTGGCCTTGGTCTGCCAATGCTCTGTCCTTTAGGGTTCTTGTGCGGGTTTGCCCATAATGGAAGTTAAAGCTAGGTTAAGGTAATTGATATGACTACAGCAGGAAGTAGAGGAAGAAAGCCTCTTAAACATTCATGCTCATGGTGCCCCTTCCAAAGTTTTCCCCCTTGAGGTATTTGGTGGCCACTAGCCACCTTTCTGATGGCTGTCCCTGGGAGCTTCAGGTTTCCTTTATATTTGGTGCCATTTTACTTACTGTAATTGCGTACATATGCCAGCACTATTGCACCTGTGCAACCTTGGTGTGTTGCTTGCCTCTTCTAATTGGTGTACTGCAGCTGTGCGCCCTGCCTCTTCCATTTTCAGAGTGCAACTTTGGACTGACTCGCATCCCCTTCCTGGTAGCAGAGCATAGCCGTTACTGCACAGCTCACCTACAAGTGCTTGACATAAAGGCATTCCCCTCAGTTTCCACAGCTGTGGAGGTCATGAATACCCCTCTCGGGATATCTCACAAGTATGGCAGGCACAAGCACAATGAAAGGGTCAGATGGACTTGCTAGCTCTAAGTGGGGTTGATAGGTTAACTCGGGGCATTAGTACTCTGTTCCAGAGAAGAATCTGCCACGCTGAGAGATTTTAATGCACATAATTTTTGGCCTCATTGAGATGCAAGAGAAGAGTTCACATCCATGTCACTTCTACCTCCCCTCCTGATTTGGTCTTATATTTCGCCCTTGAGCCAGATGCATTACCTGGCAAGCTCCTGAGAAATTTGTATTGGGATGGCATGCCTGTAGCAGAGTTCCCAGACAAGCTTGATACTATAGCTACCTTTTGATGCTCTGCATTCCTAATTGGCAATAGATCAGCTCACCACAGGCTATCCAGCATATTAGGTCCTTTACATTTCCTAAATGAGCTAAGACTTTCATGATCCACTGGCTGGTAGAGCCTGTCCTGTATGGGGACTGGCCTTGCCTGGACAAGATTTTAATCTGCTGAAATGCTTTAATAGTATCCTGGTTTTCCTACAAAATCGAGCAGTTTCTTTGATAGGATAATCCTGTGTTCAAGGCCCTTTGGACAAAAGGTTGAGGAGCTTTCCAAAATGCTCTTTGGCAGGCCCCACAGCCTGTTTTTGCTACTATGCAGTCCCAACTGACAGTTGCTGTTTGGACTAAGCACGTGGTACATGTTGTACCCTAAATGCCAAAGTCAGACCTTCCACATATGGCTTTATCTCTTCTACCTGAACAGTTTGGCAGATACACTTCATCAAATCTCTCTATCAACAAGCTTGTGATCTTTTGGTTTAAATGCTGGTCATATTAGCTCCCATGCAAGAAGCTCCTTTAGTGGCTATCCTTTGAAGGCGTATGCCTTATTGGTCCTGTTACAGATAAACACATCAACAAGCTTACAAGGGAGTAAGTGCTCTTATCCCCCAGAGAAGAGGGCCCATGTCTGTACCAATAAGACTTATGAGGCTAGTAAAGTTTCCTTTTTGTCCTGTTTTCCAATGTCAAATCTGGTAAGTACATATTTGCAACAAAGATGTCCAGCGTCATTTTCAAGGACTACAAACCAGAATTTACACTGCTTTCCTCCCCTTCATGGTGTCCGTTTATCTCCTTCCTCATCACAAGAGGGTGGATTTTGCTGTCCAGCAGCTCTTTTCTCAGTGGGTCATTACTCGGTAATAACAGGAGCATTAAAGTTTCCACGCAAGCCTTTTGTTTTTTTTTTTTTTTTGTTTTTTTTTTTTACAATTCGAAATCTAATGGAAGTAAACTCATTCTGAAGACCCGACTTGTTTATAAGGTTTGCGCGAGAACACTGCCAGGTCTGCATTTGCTTCCCTCCTGTTGCATTTTCTGGCCTCAGTAAAAACCTCAAGGATGCTTTGTCTTTCCACCTCATCAGCACTGTTTGTGCTTTACCATAGCCTGATCAGTATTGACAATATTTCGCCTCTCCTGTTGGCACAGTTCGTGGCCCTGTGTGGTTTTCACAAATGCTTTCCCTGGTTTTGCCTCTGCTCTAGGCTCAGGGGATTCATGTGTGGTATCTGGACAGTCTCTTGTTAAGACTGGTCTTACTGCCCATTGCCAACAGCAAAAATCGGCAGAGCTCTGGTTGAATCCTCAATCTGAAGTCATCACTAGACCTATTTCACAGATTGGAGTACCTGGCCCTTTCATTAGACTCAGCCCTGTCCGGGAACTTCCTGCCTTGAGACAAACTTGTGTCCCCCCCACACTCATGTCTGGCTCCCACTTGCTATCTGCATGAGCTCCATGGGTCTAATTGTTGCCTCTTTGAAAGCTATGCCATCTTCCCAGTTTCACTCCAGACTGTTGAAGCTCAACATTCTGGCAGTGTGAGACAGTTTTGGTATTTTCTATAAGTCTGCCCAAGAATGGTCTAGCATGGTGGATTTCCTACCCAGTGCTGCAGTCAGGGAAGCCCTATACTCTAAAGACTTTCAATAGTTTCGTAACAAACTGGGGCACAGTCCTGTAGATGGGCCTGATCATCGGTGAAAACCCTGCTTCTCAACATTCTAAAGCTTGGTGACTTAGTTGTCCCTCAGGGCAGATCCCCTCAAATTGCAAGGGCTCCAGTGAGAATCTAGTCCAACCATCAAGGAGGTACCAGAATATGCATTTCACAAAGGTGGGCAGGACTGCATTAGCAGCAGAAATGGGCTTTCCATTTTGAGGCATTTCTATACTTTTTTACACTAGGTAGGGACACCAGTTTTGGATCTTCTGTTCTCCCCATCCAACAGACAACGGGACTGCTTTTTTTGCCAGGCTCAGGGATCTTTAGGCTGTTGTAGAGCATGCTCATGTGAATCAATGGGATAAGTTCGACATTTATGCTTTTTTGCCCATTAAGATTCTTCATAGTCTTCTCTGCAGGATTGAGAGAGGAGAGCATTCCAGTTCTTGTTGCACCGAATTGTCCCAGACAGATGTGATTGGGCATTACTTCTGGCAGACTCTGGCCATTCCAGATTTCCAGTTCCAAGGGCCAGTGTGTCACCCTGTTTGCTGGCTTTAGTGGCATGGCTGTGGAAGCCATGGTCCTGAGACTTTTTTTTCCCTTTTCTTCTTGAAGGCTTGGAAATCGACTTTTCAAATCTACTATCACATCTGGAAGGCCTATCTTGCTTGGTGGGAGATGAAGTTTTAATTTTAGAAAGTATCTGTTGAGCATATTCTGTCCTTCCTACTGTTTTTGGTCTGGATTAGCACCAGTCTTTATTACTATCTATACACAAATCTCCATCTTGCCTGTTCTGTTCCAGAGACGTGGGCGTGCACTGCCTAGTTAAGGCCTCTGGTCATTGTGTCGCACACCCCATACCCTTTGCCCTCTGTCTCATCTTGGGACTTTATCCATAATATGTAAAAGCATAGCTTCTGAAAAGAAAAGATTACTCATTGTCTGACCTTACCCTAGAAACAGCCTTTCTTATTGCTATCTGTGCAGAAGGTCTGATTTAGCAGCATTATCCTGTAGCGAGTAGTTTGTTGCACAAGGTTGTCCCGAGGCATAAAGCCTCCTGCATGTGGTCTTGTTCCACAAGGTCAATGTCCTGGTTATGTCCTGTTCTGAGACATCCAAAATATTTGTCTTGCTGCAGTGAATGTTGTGAGTTTACATCTCAACTGCTGACATTGACTTTTCCCTGCTTCTCACTCTGATAACTTGTCTGATTCATTTAGCAGTGATTAAAGTCCTGTAGTTTGCATGGTTCTTCCCTCCTGTTAAAACACTCTACACGATCTGTTGGTGCTTTGTGAGCTTTTCAGCAGCCGGCATTTTTCTCAAATGTGCAAGGCCACTTCCTGGGCATCTGTTCACATGCTTGTTTGTTCCAGTTGGATGTTCAGGCCTCCCCTGGTGCTACAAGCTGCTCTTTGAAACTGTTGAGCCTTTCTTTTGGGCCTTTTATCATTGTTTGCTGTCACACAGACCCAGTCAATTTAGGACCTGTGTCCTATACTGTGTGAGGAATTTTTTATTTACCAGTAAAATGCATTTCTTGGAGTACATTGTAAGATTCTGGTCCCTTTCTTCTATTATGGTCTCCCTTTTTGCTTTCTACAAAATTGAGGTTAGCAGGGAGTG